TCCCTCCCTTCCGTCTCCCCTTCCCCTCCCTCCCTCCGCTCCTCCCTTCCCCTCTCCACCTCCGGCCCTCCTTTTACTCTAGTATGATTTTGTTGGACACGATTGAACCCCAGCTGGCATCTCCTGTCAACGGCTGCTGATTTGTTTGAAGGATCTTACTCATTGATTGAGTTGATTAAAGGATGCGCAAAAGAAAAAGGAAGGATGCGTCACATCTTTTCTGACATTTGTGCAATTCTTGGAATTGCCCTCCAACACATTCAGACTTGGCCGTAATGGCGGTCAGATACAGGTAGGAAAGTTGTACTGTACGAATGCTGTGAGCGGAGACGTGTTGGGCGTGCTATCACGGGAATAAGTATTTTTGTCCCAACTTGTACTCGCAATTGGCCAAATAATATATGTTTTTAAGAGCTAATGTTCAGAAGATTTGAGGCAGCCTGCAGCCTTCAGGTAATCCAACGGCACTCGCACTTGCTGCACCCTTCTCAGCCTGAAGCACACAGTGAGGATAGAAGGATATGATCTTTGCTTTTATTTTTCGTGTATTTTTTGTCTCATTATCGTGGAAACCCAGAACTCACCTGGCAGCTTCTTATCGTTGCGTCTGAAGAGCACTGAAGGAACGTGCAGCAAACCTTTGGACTTAGCGTGAAATTTCTGTTGCACCCCATTACCAGCAGCAGTGTAAACGTGTGTTTCTATCGTTGTTCTTTTTTCGCTTTTCTGCAATTTTCTCCCAACTTAGGGTTCGACTCCCCCAGCGTCTGCTGGCGAATACGTTGATTCGCATTCTAGGCCTCAAATGTATTGAAAGGTAGCTCAGTTGGTACACCAATCAACTGTTGAAACACAGACGCGAGTTCGTATCCAGATGGGACTACGGTAGTTGAATAAAAAGAAAAAAAAATGTACGTCCATGTAAATGAAGTCTTTGTTGGCGTTGGCGGAACTTGGACACGTGGCGTGGTTCCGTGGGTCCATAAACTCGTCGGGACGCACGTTCAGGAAACCACATGTTCTTTCGTCTTCAGCTGAATAGAACGCCCGGTCATTATAGCTGTATTTGGGGTAATTTTCAGTCTCGATACGGCGATAATCACCGCGCGTTCTCTTCGAGTGGAGATGGCAGTTCTTGATGGCTGCCGGTAGGTTTTTATATCTGATCCGTGGCCCATCGGACCGCATGAAAAAAAATAAAAAATCGAATCATGTGATGGGGATTGCAATTCAGAAAGGAAAGGTCGGGGCCTCGCCACACCAACGTGGAAACGGAAAAAGAACGAGTGCATCTTCCGCAGAAAGTGGGAAGATTGACTTCCCCCCCCCCACAAAAGTGAAGTTGTCTTGTTGGCTGCCGAAAACCGCATGCTCGCATGGACGGTGCTCCATGGGGGAATGATACAGACGCATGGGATGGCGGAAGGATTCGGATGCAAACTAGAAAAACGGCATGTTCGCATGGGCAGTCGTCATTCATGATGATGGTCCGTCGAGACACACGTCTGTGAAAATTGGGACGATACACAGAAGATTATCAAGGCCCCAGCACAAGGATTGCACGCACAGTGCCTAACTAATAATGTGCCAACTTTGCCCCGTTAATTGCCGAACTGGGCGGCTAAAAACCTGAAAAATCTGATCATTTCAGTCTTCAGATTTAGCAGTTTTGAGGCCCTTTGTCGCTCTCTTGAGGACGCGCTTGTCTCATTTCCTAAGCAATGAGATCAGAATCCAAGCTTGAGTCTCCTGTGGACCCTCAGCTTGAGTGCATTGACCATAACGAAGGGGAAGCGAAGTATCTGATGGCTTCAAAGATCGCGTTTGGAGATGCGGGCATGAAAAGCATCGAGTGTTTGGAGGCCGTCGAGGCTGACCCTCAAAGCTATACTCTCGAATTTTCCTGTTTTACAAGGCCAAGCTACCGGTAGCAATAGGTGTTGCAATATAAAGGTACTCTGCCAGAAATTTCTGCCAGTTGAACCTCTTGGACCCATTGTAGAGCCGGGTTTGCGGAGGAGGTGGGGGAAGTACGTGTGTGTGTGTGTGTGTGTGTGTGTGTGTGTGTGTGTGTGTGTGTGTGTGTGTGAGAGAGAGAGAGAGAGAGAGAGAG